CATCAATGAATTCGAATATGTTGACCGAAAAGCTCCAATATATTAATGTTTTTCTAATGTGACCAAATTATTTCATTTTTATAACATGAAATTGACGTAAAAGGAATAATTCTCTAAGGAGAAATATTTGATCTGAAAACATTTATTGTTGTAGAGCGAATCAGATTACTTAATTCAGATTCGGAAATTTAAACTTCTGCAGTGAAAGGACCGATTTGAAATTTATTGTACCTATTCCTCATAGTACTATAGGACAAATGACTTTCATTAGGTTTAAAAACTTTTTAGACTTAAGAAAAATAAAATAATGTACTTAAATCTTCTTGATTTGAATTAGAGATTTGAAACTTTCACAAGTACTTGATTTGTAGGATTGTGTTAAATGACCCTCTTGTGATGAAATGAAAGTACTGCGTTGCTGAAATGACTCTTAAAATCGGATAAATAAAATAAAATAGAAAAAACAAACTATCGAAAGCAGCACATTTGCCAATTTTATTGACGAAAACATAATTTACGAGGAAGGGATATATGAAGTTAGCAGAGCAAATATAATTTAGATTAAACAGCTGAAGGATCTCGTTACAGAGGTTCTAAACTTAACATGCCATATGGTACGCCTTTATAAAACATATAACATACAGCCATTTCAAGGCTGTATTTTTATTATATTATTATTTTAGGCTTTGGTAGCCTAAAACTAGCTATTCAACTCCGTTTAATTATTTTGTGTTCGAAACTCTTAGCAAATATTTCAGTATATTTTAAATAAATGTATAATTTCGACTTTGAAGAAAATATGCGTCACAGCACATTGCTAATGAAATTTGGCAACAGTGTATGCTTCTTCACTAAAATAAAATTAGACAAAAGTATTATTGTAAGTTTTGCGGAATATTATGAATACTTTAACTAAGGTTTTTGAGTAGAAAATTCAGTTTCAATATATTACAACTGAAATTTGGCAACAGTGTGTACTTATTGACCACAATTTAGTTGAATTATTTATGATAACAAGTACTATGGAATTATTCACTGTTAATAGTATATATAATATTTGTCGATAATATCAGCATATACTACTTTACAAATATACTTGTATGGAAAATTGGCAACAGTGCAAATAAGTTTTTGAAGAAAATTGCCATATTTATTTTCATAATTTTTATTAACTAACGAACATACATGTTCTTTGGTGGAATAAATTCTAAAATACAAATATGTATTGACTGAATTTTTTTTTTGAAAATTGGCAAAAGTGCTTTTTTCGGAAAGCGGTAGGAAAAACGAAAGTATACAGTTACAAACTGGCGGAAAATAGTAGAAAAAATAGCTGAAACTTTTTTCGAAAACGAAAAAGACATGTGGAAAGCTTATAACTAGTTTTATGGGACTTATTTGTCATAAGTCATTTATTATAATTATATAACAGATTTAGATATTTTTTGTTTAAATATTTATACAAAAAAAATCCGGTTTTTTTTTTATCAAAAACATGTGGTGAGTATATATTATATGTATGTAAGTAAGAGTGATTTTTAATTGGTTCAGTACATATGTTTGTATGCGAATATGTCAGCGCAATTTATTTCTATGTACTTGTATGTAAATATGTGGTGCTATGCGTATGTGGCTTTTTATTGATGTGTTCTTTTATTTAATTATTTAAAATTGAAAGTTTATTTCATAAGTTTAAAAATATTATTTTTTCTTAATGAGGATTTTCGATAGTTCTATAAGTAGTTTGGTGAAAAATTAAAACATTTATATTAAATAGTTGTAGTTTTTTTTTCAAAAAAATACGACTTATTGTTGTTTTACTAACTACTTTAGGCAACAATGAAACTAACTAACTGGCGAAATTGAAGAATACTTTCCACTAACTACACAATTAGGCGTAAAATTTTACTGCAAATATTTGTAATATATATGTACGTACATAAATATATATGTGTAGAGAGAATGTATGTGTAAAATATAGTAATGAACAAAACTCTAGCATGAATAGTTGTACTAATAAATTAACGGTTTTACAAATATATATGAGCGTTTGAAGATTTGTGAAGTAAGTAGTTTAGAAATTTTTAGTTTTGAAAACTTTGATTGATATTTTGAAATTATTATTTAATTAAAATTTTTATTTGCTTTACCGTTGACTAACTCTATGACCAAAGCATATCCAGAGTTACACTAAATTCTAAATCGTCTAAATACACACACTGATTACTAAGCTAACTAACGGTTTTACCATGATAAAATGTCGTACGAAATACTGAAGCACTAAATCGATTTTAAGTTTTTGTGAAACATTTTTTAAAATTAATTGTTTGTTGAGCATTTGTACGAGTGAAAGAGATAGTTGAGTAGTAGTGAACGTTTGTTGGTTTGCTTTAAGCGGTGAGCAGTTACGAACACTCGTGGAATGGCAGGTGAAAGAAATGTGTTGGTTTTGTAGTTTAAGCATAATGTATAAAAAATGAAATTTAATAAATGCAATTGTTTCTATGTCAACTAACTGAAAAATGTCTGAACTTTCTAAAAGGCTTTAATTTTTTCACATTAGTAACGCAATTCGTATTTTTAAAGCAAGTAAAGAAGATGAACACCAATAATATTTATATAACTGATCACATTTATCTGCAAATCAGTTGTTTTGAAAATTTTACGAACTACATGTGCACTATTGTGGGTAAAAAAAAGGTGCTAAGTATGCCTTAAAAGCAATAGACATGTTAATGTTTGAAAAGAGAAATTTTTTTTCTTTAGCGAGGAGAGTTATATTAGAAAAAATATTTCGAAAATTATGGGTTAAACTCTATTTAAAATAATTTGTAGTCCTATTTAATTAGTTTTCCTTTATAAAAATAAAGACCTTTGCTTTAAATTTTTATATTAAATTATTATTATAACTTGTAGAAAATTGGCAACGTTGTATGATTTTCGCAAAGATGATATTGTAAATTAGAGAGGCAAGATATAAGCTAAAGTAAATCGCTTTGCTATAAATTTTGGTCCAAAAGATATTATTGGCGGTTACAGAAAATTGGCAATCTTGCAGAATTTTGGTAAAGTCGATATTAAAAATTAGAGAGGCGAGAGATGAATTGCTGTGAGCGCTGTTATAAGGTACTGAAAGAATGGTTGTAAAAATTGGCAATTAGGGAGTGCAAATATATTTTTACTAAAAGCTAGCAACACTGTCGATATGCATATTGAAATATCAGTAACTGTTATTGGTGGAAATCACAAAATAAATGTTTGAATTTGTTAGATTTCTCTTAAATAAATTTGGTGTAATAGTGGCTACCTCGTACTGAAAATTAGGAATAATGGTATAATTTAGACATCATTGTGTTGCTTTTTTTGAACGGAGGGTATGATTTTCCGGTATATGCTAATATGGAAATCCTTTAATATAATTATTTTGTATTGTCTAGTGAAATTTGGCAACAGTGGAATTATATTTTGCGTTCAAATAATTACTATATTTTTTACCGTTGTACCCTTTTTGTGATACTATTTTCAAACATCGAAATTAAGGTACATACATATATTATTCGCTGCTGATTCGAAAGGGAGCTGTTGAAACTTGGCAACGTTGTAAATATCGTTATGCATATATTATTATGTGAGGGTATCTCAACTCTGTACTGCTTTATTTTGGATGATGAAAAATTATAATTGAAATGTAAAGAAATCGTAACTGTTTTACTAATTTATAGTAACTGGTTCAATCATTCTTCCCATAAATGTAATATGAACATGAAGGACTAGGCTTTAAAAAAAACATATATGGGTAAAGATGTTTGCGTGGCGCTTAGACTATTAGTTCCCGCCGAATTTTTATTTTTACAACTTATTTGTATATGAATTAATTTTTTTTAAAGTTGTATATTCACTATTAGAAGCGACTGTACGTAAGCTACTACCTACAATAAAATAATTCTATATAGAAAGTAATTATTTTTATGCTACTTTTTGAACTAAACTAATTTTAAGTAATAATTTTTTAATAATAAAATTTTGTTTATGATAAAAAGTTTTTTTTTTATAATTTTACATTAAAAATATTATTTTTCAAATGGTTGATTTGTGATAATAATGTAAGACATGAAAAAAAGAATTTGCATTTAGTAAAAGTAAGGCAAAAGAGAAGAGAGTAAAAGCTTACAAAGAGGGAGATAATGTGAGAACGGGAGAATTTTAAAGAGAAGAAGTGCTTAGGGGCTACATACCAAGGAACTTTTGAGCAGAAATATTCTTTAAAAATTAGAAAAGAGAGTGAGAAGTTGCTAAGGGTTCATTTTTGAAGCGTGGAGTAAAATTAAAATTTATACAAATTAGTGCTACGAGAGTAGGCTGAAAAGAGAAGCTTAAAAGCCTATTACTAATACTTTTTTTAATGGAATATAGAAGATAGCTATAACGCCGGAACAAGGCGCATTTCGTTAGTAATCTGAAGAAAATTAAAAATAAAATTAAAAATTTAGAAAAAGACTAAATTTTTTTATAATAGAGTTGTATGATTAAGTAATTTGTTAGTCGGAAACGTAAGTTCTCACGAGTGCTATGAATGTTTTTTTTTACTCATAATGAACGTAAAAAGTAAATAAAAATTGTTTTTACTAATTTTTAAAAATTATTGTTCGCTGAAATTTTTGTAAATAATTTGTTATGTATGATTTCCATAATTTTTTTTGTATACGGTTTTTTAATAGACTGAGTTAGTGTGCGTATTAGTTTTAGTATGTGTTATTGGTGTTACCTCTCATTTGTATACTTTTTTTTAGGAAATTATTTTCGTTCATCTGCTTTGCACTAAATCCGCCTAACATAACTGTTTAGGTCTAAAATATTATTATTTTTAATTTCAAATGTTAATTTCTTTTTGCTATTATTATATATTTAGTAACTAAATATTATTTTCCATACTTTTAATACTAACACTAATATAATTTACTTAAGGAGGATGTGTATTCAAACTTTTAACGAACACTAACCTGAATATGAATATGAAGAGTACGAGCAGTGAGAAGAATACCGCTACATTGTCCATCGTGCGCAGCATAACGAATAATTGTCGTCGCAAATTGGGCATGAAACGCACCAGCTTGAGTATGCGCAATAGGCGGAATGTGCGCAGCACGGAGAGGCCAGAGCCACCACCACTACTGCCATTGCCACTGTGGAATTGTTGAAAAATCTCAATGACGCTGAAAGTGGATAGAGAGTTTTTTTTCCAGAATTATGAAAGAAATGTTGAATATTTTTAAAAATTTTTAGCCAATGCATTTTTATCATCAGGTACCCTTTGACTAAATATAATATTTGGCTAAACTTCTCCTAGTTTTGAATATTTTACTGGTCAACTTGAAACGTTAAGGTCTCACAAGCTTTAACCTATCGATAAATATATTCTTATAAGGCCTCTCCTAGTTTTAAATATTGTTCGTCTCAACCCAAAGGTTTCATAAGTTTTAATCCATCAATAAATTAAGCCGGATTCTTATAGCAGCTTTTTGATATCGATAATACATATGAAAGCTCTCTCTTGGACGCTGGGATGCTACTATGTCCACTAATTTCTTCAATCATATTTCTTTCATCGAGATTATATCAGATTGGAGCAAATCGGAGTTCCCTTTTCCTCTGGACAGCTGAGTTTCAACCCACCCGCTTTTATTGAGAACTTGTTCTTCTCTGTGAAAAACCCTTCATATATAAACCACTTAGATTATAAGAGAAGTATTGGTAGCACATACTTTTTCCTGGTTCCCTACTTATGAACTTTAGGCATTAGTTTCTGGAAATATTTATTAGCCTTGTAGATTCGTTTGAACTAGGTTGCGGAACCTTGGCTTTTCAATTCTGTACACATACAGAATCAAGAGTATCTCGGAGTAGAGTTTCGTATATTTCTTCCTCGGAAGAAAAGAGGAAGATATTTAAAGAAATCGAGATTGGCCTATTCGAAGTTTCTACTGGGACAAGATTTGTAGAAATTTGTTTTTTCAGTGCCAAAACGATTTTAGGTACCTTTAAGCTCAGCTTATCACATGTTTGGGTTAACTCGAAACACGGCTTCAGGGTCGAGTTGTGGAATTTTCTTTTTTCAAATATTTTTCTTTTCCAGTCCCATAGGTTGGGAGTATTTTTTGTGGTCTTCCGTGAATTTCTCTTGCGAAAGTGTTTAAATCTAGATTAGATTATGGAAAAATACTTTTTTCAGTCCCACATAGAGATTTTTTTATATTTTGGACTTTGTTGGTTGTAAGTTTAGATAAACTCTAGCTCAAACATATTTAAAGGATGGAGTTGTTGAATCTTCACTAGTTTTTTAAAGGCTAAGAGGGCATTTTGATGAGTACGTCAATACAATTCTAACGCTATTCTTCGTTCTAGAGCTCAGAGGACTGTTTCCCAAGGCACACTTGGTCGATAGCTCGGGCTGGGTTCAAGGTATAACTGAGTAGAATGCGGGAAAGTTTCTCATTTTCAAAGTCACATTGGAAGTTTGGGAGTCTATTAACCATAATAGTTCTAAGCTTGGTATAACTTAAAAGAAAACGTTTGATTTTTTCTTTCCGAACACCCACTACTCGTACCACTTGGCATATGAATTGAAATAGAACTTTTGCTTCAAATAGCAAAGCTTTTGAGTGAGTTTTCCGTCGAAAAGTAATATATACATTTCGCTTTCTATGCTAAGCAATAAATTTCATGACTATGCAAATTTTGTAAAATTGCCGTTGACACACACACATACACGCTCAAGTAATACGAGCATTTGCTTGCAATTCACGCCTTAGCGCGTAGCAATATACACTCTCATATATTATATGTGTATGTATGGTATGTGTGTGTGTACGTGGACTGGCGGAAAAGCGCACATTTTTTCCCCAAACACCACAATGCATGCCGCACATGCAAATCCTTGCTACTTTGGCGTGTTGAAGCAGTGATAATTTCACTGTTGACATACGATTGCCGAAGATTTAGATTGCAGCGGCGTGAAGCGACACATGCAGGCGGCGGCTGTTAGGAGGGTTAAAGGGAGTGGTAAGGCATAACCACACAGTAATTTGCGCTTCGCTGTCAAATGTTGGCTAGATGCTCTACTTCGTCGTTGGCTGTGTGGATATATGCAACTGCCTGTATGTGTGTGTGTGTGTGTGTGCAACAGGCACAAAGTAGCAACCAAAAACTAGAAGAATACCAAAAAAGCGAATGAGTAAACGCCAAACGAAGGCATTGAAGCGTTGCCGAAAGTGAAAATTGCTGCTGCGGTGTGGCGTGTGGAGGCGGTGTATGTTGCCACAACACATACATACACACATAAGCACATTTTATACCTATATATGTGCGCGCAGTGTCGTTGCAGTCAACAAGTTGTGAATATGTTAACGTCGCCAGCAATAAATTGCCGCGCTGCCAGCATGCATAGCAGTCCGACGCGGAGCATGTGGACAGCTGGCTACTCGAGGCACCGGCGATGACAATGAAGCGGTCGAGCGTTGCGTTTTTTGTTGTTTTTCTTTTCCTTTTAATTTTTGTATGCCACATTTAATGGTTAGCAAGCAGTGGTTTTGTGGCATCCTAAAAATATGTATATGTGTTTGTATGTGTGTGTATTTGTGCAAATTACTGTGTGTTCGGCTCTTAAATAGCACGAATTTTTCACATTTCAAATTAACTTTGCACAAATTGTTTGCATAAAGTTGGGCCATGCAAGTTATGCGGTTGGCCGCACATGGCGTATGAGTAACATTTTAAGTGGCAAGCGCGCTTGTGTGTGTTTGTTTGCACTGAGTATTCACATTGTTTAGTCGTTTGCACTGGTGTTTTTTTCGGCGTATGAGTGATATGCTAATAATTTTTGCTGCCAACCATATGCGCGTAGTTTGACAAGCCGGTGACTTTTTGAGTGACAGTTATTATTTTGCACAGTTAGGGGTATTGTGTCTCAAAATATATTACTTTTGGTTCAATAAAAACTCAGAAAGCAGTCGTATTTTAGTCTTAAAAATGTTTTCTTGGTTTTCTTAAAGTTATCTCTCTTCATTTGTTCTCAAAGTAGTCCATTTCTGCTTAAAGAACGGTTTGAAATCGTTTTGAGGCTCAAAATGGTGAAAATGGGCTACTTGTGGTTCAATAACTGCTTTACAAACGGTATTTTAAAAATATTTTTTTAAGTTTTTTTAATTTGTCTAAGGCTTTCCAGTTGCTTCTTCAGCTCTGTATAATATTTCCCTGCTTAATAACGGTATTTAGTTCGTTGTTCTTAAAATTTTTGAAATAACTTTTTTTTTCTTCTGCTTCTTTTTCCGTTCGTTCTCGACGCCATCTACTTTTGGTTCCATGAGCACTTTAGATCACTCCTTACATAATTTTTAAGGGTGTATTTAATATATTTAACTCTAACAACTAACTATTTACACTTCCATAGTTTTTGTACCCAAATTCAACACAAGCACGATGTAGTTACTCACCTGAGTATCACAATGACGCCATCGAACACATTGAAACCATTCGCAATATAACGAAATGAACCTTCCGCCACCACTTTCAGCAACATCTCCACAGCGAATATCGCCGAGAACACGATATTACTCTTCTCCACAATGGCGGTCAAATAGTCGGGCTGCTTGTGGTACTCAATACCCATAGATAGTGTGTTAATGAGAATAGCCAACAGTATGCCCTGCTGAAAGTACTTATGCTCCACCAGCAACTTTATGTAGCGACGCATCACACCGCAAACGTGCATCACGCAGCGATAAATGCTGATCACAATCTTGATCGGCTTCGAGTGTTGCTTCTTCTCGCCGAGCGGTGACAGTGCATTCTGGTATAAATCATAGCAACACGAGTAGTCTTCGATGTAGTTGCCGGTTGTTGTGTTGGCGGTGTTGTTGCCCGCGCTGCTCGTAACTGCCAAAGCAGTGCTGTTGTTGTCCAAACGTTTGCACTGACGATCGCTAATGACCTTTGAGTTTGACTGTTGTTGTTGTTGCTGTTGCTGTTTTATTAATTGCGATTGCTGGCGATTGTGTTGGTTCTTCAGCGCCTCAGCGGTGTGTGGATCACAGCGCGCCAATGAGGTGTAAAACGATTCCAACGTACTCTGGCCGGTGGGTAGGGCCGCTGAAAAGGCCACAGAAAATGCTAAAAGCTCTTGACATGTCATCGCGTCGTGTATACCGAGTTCGGAGCAATCGGCGTATGGGTTGGCGATTGTGCTACCGCCGCTATTGATCGTTTGGGGGAGATTAACCTATGAGTGAGAAGACAGAGTGAAAGAGAGTAGGGTAATGATGTAATGGAAAGGCACCGAAGAGAGCGTAATCAATTTTGCAAAAATACATAATAGGAGAGCAAAAAGTGGGAATAGTAACTAATTATATTGAAATTGAATAAAATGAAGTGAGGATGTGATGTCATATGATATAACGTGATATGCTAATGTTTGAAAGAAAGCGAATTGATAACATATGATGCGATGCAATATATTTTGATGCGATATTATCCAAGAAGACATGATGTTGTGAGAAGTAAAGAGCAAAATTTTCGGGTATAGTTTGGGGTGTGATGTGACGTCATATCATATGATATAATTATAGATATTATGTGATGCTGAATCAAAAAAAAAGGAATTCAATTGGGCGGTGAAATGAAATTTAGAATATTTAAGAGGATGTGATGTGATGTCATATGGTGATATAAGATCATAGTTTGATTGGTTTTTAAAAATCTATGCAAAATGCTTTACGAAAATGTTTCAATGCACGTATTTTGGATGTTTTTTTTGATGTTTTTTATTTGATGTATTTTATTTGATGTTTTTTTTTTTTGTAAAAGATTGTTATAAGATTACTTTTACTAAACTACATGAAAATTGAGAAAAAGAGAGGAACGCAACAGAAAAATCGTCAAGTATATAAACTTTCAGGCAAAATATCTATCGATAGCAAATTCGCTGAGTGACTGAGATATTAATGAATTTAATGTGAGAAAGAAAAAGTTGCAAAGAAAGTTTAAAAAAACTCTTAACGGCGAAAGCTTGCGAAGATGCTCGTAAAATAAGCAAAAGTAGTTATAGAGTTATGGAAAAGAGTTGGAAATGCGAATTTCCCACCTTCCATTTGCCTACGACTCACCTGCCATATGCTGCCATCACCAGCCTGCGTCATTTTCTCCGACGAGCACACGGTGCCGCTCTTCTCTGCCACATTGGTTATTGTTGAACTTGGTATAGTTAACGGTTCGCTTATTGCAGGCGGTGTATGCAACAGAACATATTCGTTGAACATCACCGATGGACGACGGCTAGCCGATGTGGGTGGACTGAGGAAGCCCGAGGTGCAGGGGTTGCTCTGCGGAGGGAAGGTGGGAGTGGAAGAAAAAAGTAAAACACAAGTAAAGAAAAATATGAAAAATTAAAAAATGTTGAGAACATATGTTGAAGAGATGGTTAAATATGTAAGAAGAAAATGTGGATTAATTACATTTTATGTTTTATAAATTTTTAAGAAAGAACTTTGCATAATTCTCAAGGTACCATAACATTGGAATAAAAAATGTAAGCTCTTAAACTTTGCGCTTTTTTACTAAATACTTGTGTATAATTTTAACGGTAAACAGTTAAATTTTTAGGTTATAATGTACATATAGTTGACGGCAGACAAAGAGCAGGGTCAAACTCTATACTATTTTTTGTGAAATTTTTACTATTTACAATTTTTGCTCACAAAACTTTTGGGACTTGGTATGACTGACTTGGTGTAAGCGTAAAACATGTCAAGACGTGTTGTTATAAATATTTAAAATAAAAAAAAGCTATTAAAAAATATAAAAGCAGCAGGTTGTATATTTACAGTGGTATAAAACGTAAAAAATATTGGGTAAAACTTTTTAACTTTAAAAATTATAAATACCAAAATTTACTTAATATATCTATACCTTGCCCAAGTTTCCCAACTGCAGCTAAATTGTTACATAATCGATACAAGTAGTTTATGAAAAATATTTAGAAGTCGCCAAAAATATATAAGAAATGGCATAAAGTCTGGTAGTTGTGTAGAGTCTTTTTCAGTTGTGTGTGGTTGTGGACATTTTTTCGTGAGAAGGCAACTGTCATGAGTTGTTACAGACTTTTTTCCGTTAATATTTATTTGTAAAATAATGTGTGTTCAACCTTTTCTTGACAATATATATTCGAAGTGGCATTTCAAAATTTTAAGGTTAGGTGTAGTTTTGTAGAATTTTCAAATTCGGGTTATGTTGTTTATTTTTGTTATGCTTTGGTGTTTGTTTTAAATATTTTTTTTTATAAAATTTGAATTAAAATAATAATTAAAAACCACGATGATTCAAACGATGTGCTAAGCACTTCATAACTCTAGGCGAGAGAGAAAGAGAGGTAAATACGAAGACAGTTCTAAGATTTAAAAAAATGTGTCAATATGTTACTGAAAATATAATACTGATAAAAAAGAGTTATAGATAATTATACACATAGAATTTATCGATAAAAATATCCATACCACATAAGGTTTATATGTTGCTTTCATTAGAACATATCTTTTAGCATCAATAAAATTATTCAATAATGCAAAATATTAATTAAAAGCTTCTAACCTTAATAGAATTGGTAAAAGCTGTAGTTTATCGACTTTCTCACATATTGATACATTTCAAATTATAACATATGGAAGTAAGTCTGCTGCATATAATGTTTCATCAGTTGTAAGCCGTTTTTAATCAAAAATTTAAAGTTATCAAAAACAATAAATCGATTTTTGTAATATATCGATTTTTTTGTATCGATAAATTATTAAAAAATTTTAATTTGTGAATGTATAAAATTTTGACGGAAAAGTATTCGCCTTATACCTAGGTCCAAACATAGAAATCTACAGTTAACGGTAACTAAAAATCCATTATTTTCATATTTAGATAATTTCTATAACGACAAATACTTCGAATTTATAACTTTTAATTTAAAAAAGTTTTGCAGCATGTTATGTTTATATTTTTCTTTGTCTAAGCAAGAAATCTACAGTTAGCGATAATTAAAATTCGTTGGATTTAATATATCGATTCTTTGATATATCAATAAATATTCAGAATTTATAAGTTTGGAATTTGTTTTGCTGACTGGTATTCCTATTTTTCTTCAGGCTAAACAGAGAAATCTACGATTATCGAATTAAAAATCGATTGTTTTTTTATATTGATAAATAATCGGAATTTATATATTTTTGGTTTATAAAAGCTCGGCAGAATGGTATTTGCATTTTTCCTAAGGATATAAATCTGCAATTATCGATAACTAAAACGATTGTTGTAATATATCGATACTTTGATGTATCGATAACTTTTTAGAATCAAAAAGTTTTTAATTTATGAGAGCTTTGCACTATGTTATGCGCATTTTTCCATAGCCAACTAGTAATTTAATTGAATCATCGTGCTTTTTTTTAACAAAAAAGTAAAATTATATGATTTCTACTAAACAAAACTTACAATTAATTGCTCCGAATCACCATTGGAGGGAAATTTCAGTAAAATTGTTTTTTGTTGCCCAGCCGACTGTTGACCCTGCCCCAACGACTGCGCTTGCTGTTTGGCCACATCCGATGTCAAATGATTTGACGACTTCTTTAGGTTCGAATTGCGCGTCGCATGCTCCAATGATTGCACCGAGTTCTCCGAAGAGGAATGTTGTTGTTGTTGCTGCGGCTGTTGTGCTTGTTGCTGTTGTTGTTGCTGGCCGACCACACTTATATTATTATTATTGATGCTATGCGGTAAGCCCGTGTTGGCAGTGCCATTTATAAGTGGTGTTGTTGTTGTGCCACTAATTGGCAGCGCCAGTGTAGATGACGCCACCACCGCCGCTGCTGTTGTTGCTGCTACTGTTGCTGTTGGTGGTGACGGCGCTAATATTGTGCTGGTTGCTGTTGTTGTTGCATGACTGCGAGTGCCATTGGCAACAGCAGCAGCACTGCCAGCGCCACCATTGTTATTGTTGTTGCTGCTGTTGCTTACATTATTATTGTTGGAATTCAGTGGCACCATAACGGTGATCATTTGATCCTGTATACTCGACGGCTTGCGATTGCCATACTTGGGGCACTTCGGGTGGTGGCATTTGATGCGCGACGGCGAGAATGTCAAATTGTCGGCGTTCGGTAGGAGACCTTCGTTGCGCTGTTGTTTTTGGTATCTGTTGCATACATTTTTGTTGTTGTGGTTGTTCATTTTTGCACACATTGTTAATTATTTCGACGTTGATTTATGACAGTTGTCGGTTGTTGGTTTGACATTTGACGAGTCCGCGTGGGAGTTCGTGTGCGTGTTTGTGTTTTTGAAACATCGACGCGCACACGAGCGGCAATTTGTTGATATTTGAAATGTGTGTGCACACAGACATTTGTCAGTTGTGCAAATTTGCGTCAGTTTATCGCCATTTCATTGTGCATGGATGAGATGCATGTCGTTTCGGTTGCATTGTTGTTGATGTTTGCCATTTTTTTTTTCGTTTGTTCGTATGAAAGAAGCATAAATAAAGAGCAGAGTGTAAATATTAGTGTCAAATTGCTTTTAAAAATTTATTTCAAAAATTTTTCTCTTCTCTATTGTTTGAGTGTAGAGCACTCTCATGCCCGACTGATTGACTGACTGACTGACTGACTGACTGAGTGTCTACTTTTGTTTGTTTTTGGATTTCTGTGTCTGTAGGAAGTGTCTGCTTGGTTGTGCGATTTTTTAATGAATAGCGTGAGAGTTTTTTGGTTTTTTTGCTGATGCATGTCACATGATGTGTGTGGTTTATTTTTCATTCAAGTGTGATTTTATGAGATTAAATGCAATTTCTCGTGTATGAAAAATGTCAAAACAAGAAAAAACATTAACTTCGGTTGTGCCGCAGATTAATACCTTATACAGGTCCATTTGTTATAGCATAAAAGGGTATAAAAAGACCTCTTTCTTGATTTTGATCGGTCAGTTTACATAACAGCTATACGCTATAGTAGTTCGATACAAACAACATGCTTGGAGATTATAGCGCTGCTTTGAACAATAATCTATGCTAGATTTCGTAAAAATATCTTCTAAAAAAAAAAAACTTTTCAATACAAGGACTTGATTTTGATGGTTCAGACCGACAAATGAGTAGCTTTTTGAGGAAAAGAGAAGGTATGCAAAATTTCAGATCGACATCTCAAAATATGTTGCACGTTTCTGATTTTCTATATCTCACTGCTACACCACTCCAAGTCAAGGTTATAAGATAATTCCCATATAAAGCCAGAATGTGTTCTAATGTATGCTCGAGATATGCATATGCCTACAAAGAACACAGACTTAAGTCCCAGCATTTTGTTGACAATAGACTTCTGTTATTCTCCAGACTAATTTTACAGTCATTACGTTGGTGATTCCAACGAAGATAGATCCGGTTTGTAAATTTTTCAGGTATTTGTAACGTATATGGTATTAAATTATTTTTCAGCAACCCTACAAAGACCGAACTCTCTTTCACAGCAGCACAAACTTCGAAAGACCTTCCATCAACTCCATATCATTTGAAAAATCATAGAAATATCGAAAAACATTTCGATAGTGGGCTTGAGAACTGCTTTGAACCCTCTTGGATTGTAATTCGTAAAAAAAAAGTAGGAATATTCTTCAACAACAGCATTTCAAAAGCTGGAGTTTTTCTATGATATACAGCCGATTCGAATTTTACACGATCAAAGACTCTGAACTCGACAGAGTTCTCCAAAAATGTTTGGGAAATATTATATGCCACAATAGCAACTACAGAATCTAAGCACAAAGCTATAACTGGCCTCCATAATGAATTGCATGACTATGTTGTATAAAGTAGATAATTGGAATGCGTCATTACCTGAGTAGGAATGAGGTTTGACCTCAGATATGTAAGTGCTGATACAGTGTGAAACATGAATAGCTCTAGAAATTTGTATGTTAAGCCTTTTTATGAACTTGTGAAACATCTTACATTACTTTCGACGATAGAACAGAAAAGCTTAGTTCGTCTTCTATGAAGAAAAGCGTTGTTTTACTTCAAAGCGATTTGGCTGACGTTGGCGATCACAAAAAAATAAATTTAGATTCTAGAATTTTAGAATTTAAAATTTATAATCTTAAATTTGGACACCATTTTCTTGTGATCGCTTAAATTAGCTAAATAGAAGTGTTGGTCATGTCGACCTTGAGTTAATCGCTAGAACAAGATTTGGCTTCGAACAAAATTTGAGCAGATTATTTGTGAAGGGTTTGTTCTGTGCGCGAAAGAATGCATCCTATTTGGTTAAGCAATATTAATCCCAAATTACTTAGTTCTGCATGTTTACTTTCTGCTTCTTTAAAATACAACCCTCAAATTCTACCGTATTGCACTGGTGAGAAATTCGTTGATATGATTTAATGATTGAAGCTCATGTATAGTGTATGAAGGTAGATAGCAAAAATTCTCTTATGTAAATTTGTATTGTTGAATTTTATGCTTAGACTTTTCAAAAATTTATTTAAGTGATTTGGAAATGTTTTTTCACTATTCTGGGTAGGTGTATGAATAAAAGCAGTTGTAAGTAAATGCTGCAAGTTTTTAAATTTAAACTAATTTTCTTATACAATCTTTCGATTTAAAATAAATTCCATATTTTTTCGAAAAAAATCCAATTATTTTTTAAAAATAAAATTAAAATTTTTTGTTTTGAAATTTGAGAAAAATTCCATATTTTTTTGAAAAAAATTTAAATATTTTTGAAAAAAAATTTAAATATTTTTGAAAACAAAATTGGAAATTTTTTTTTTTGAAATTTGTTTGTCTGTCCATCAAACACATTTTATAATAAATAATAAAAAATAATTAAAAATCTTCTAATGTTCACTTGCAAATGCTTTTATATAGCATACACTACTATACACACAACAACAAATCATCAAATGCTGAATGTTGAAAAAAATTGCATGAATATGTTTGCTTGTGTTTGTTGTATGGCTGTATGTGTGTTTTCAAAAATCCTATGCAAAATACTTGTTATTCAAAAAGTTACTCAATATTTCACTAAATCAATATTTGGTTATCAACTAACTCACTAACTAAGGACCACAAATAAGTAAGTACATAAATGCCAAATGCATGCAAAGTGCAATTTTTTACATATACATATGTACATAACGCAGCATGTACATAAATTATTGGTAAAATATGAAAATAAAATGCTTTCATAAGCAAAAAAGCAATTAGCTTTAATTAACTGAAACTAAACAAGCGAACGCAACACAAATCAATTAATATTTGCAATATAAGCTAAATAAATTTATTATGCAAAAAATAGTATAAAAATTTTAAAAACGAAATAATAACTAAAAATATTTAATTAAAAGAGCGTACAGTCAGTAGTTTCTCTTAACGTGAGCCACACTGTTTAGAGCGCCAATAAAGCGATTATGCATATTTTTGTGGCATACTTTTGGGCATTGTGATAAAAATTGTCGAATTTTTTTGCAAGTTAAGATTTTTAATCATGAAATTGACACAGTAAACAACGAAATATTTAAAACTATTTTGTATTTCGTTAAGCAAATATTGCTTACATATAGGGGCTGTAGAAAAATGTAGTTGCGGCTTATATAATTGGTTGACTCAATAAAGCCGTTTAAGAAAAGGAGACCAATTTCTAGGCCTAACAATGCATTATGTGCTGAATTAAATTTAAATTTTTATTCCATACATTTAGGCGCTTAAAGGGCTTTGAAAGTAAAAAGTTGACTTTTTTACACTTTACATAATCTTGATACAATAACTACATATATATCGTCGAGTAAAGAAAGTGTGTATATATTTCGTTGCCTACCTTGAGGTGCATATAGCGCAATTATACACAATTCGACATTTGAGTGGCGTCTAACAGTATTTGCAACTTTTTCTGTATCACCTATTCTAGAATTTGCATGTCTAAAGTACTTTAATAGAAACTTGAAAATTTATAAACCGTTATTGTTTTCTGCCTATATACGAGTTTTTAGAATATAATAGATTTTATACCCGTATAATTTCTTGTTTAATATTTTTTCTTTGGTTGTAAAAATTTCGTAAATAATATGTATCGTTGCCGAATCTCTAACTAACATTAGTAAATATCTAGCATACTTATAGAGTCGAAAATAAAAGTTGTGTAAACTACTTAATTACTTTTTTGGGCCATGTTTTAACGCTACTCTAAATAAAATAAAGGCTGTTATTTTGGTGAGCTCTGTTTTTGAGAAAATTATTTCTTGTGTTCTTTTAGGCGCATTTATTTCTTTTGCATTATTATCGCTTGAATTTGCTATATTGTTGTTTGAATTTATCGTGATTTTATGTTTGCTTGTTATATGTATATTCAATGCGCAGTTTCATGCGCATAAAGTGTAAAGCAAAAAATTTAAGCCCACTTTTTTGGGCGTCATTTAATGAATTATTAACTTGTGAACATTAAAATCAACAAATTTTCAAAAGAGTGGATCAAAAAGTGGACAAACTTGTGCAAACAATGATGTGCCTTTTTTCGGACATAACTTAGTACAAAAGTTTTAGCATACTTTGAGGCGCCATAAATGATTTACTTGCTGTGATAACTAAATTGAGTACACAAATATATTATTGAGATATCTATATTTTAATTGATTTGTTGAATTTTACGAGTGTCTTTAAAATGTTTTGCGAAAAGTTTAAATACGACTTTTAGGCGCATCCCATATTACGAACTCATTTTCAGTCACTTCTAATTACTTATTACCCTAAATATATTTTTGATTATTTAGAATTGATAAATGCAAAAATCCCCTTGCATAAATAAAGGGACAATTTAACAATATTTTTATTATACGTGTTAGTAAAGCTCTACGAAATTAAGTTGAGTAAGATTAGTTGGCTATCTACTTTTATGCTCACGCATTAACGAAACGAATCGAACGCAAATACAACTGTATATTCTGCTGTTAGTTTCTTAAAAAATTTTTCTTGTTGGGGAGGGTTTACTGTAACTGAAAGTATCACGAAACAAATATAATCAAATCAAAACATTAATTATCATACTTATATAATCTGTACTTCTTTAACATGCGTCGCTTGAAACGCCGCCAAAGATGCGCTATATATTTGACAATCTCCGCATAGCAGGTGGCCGGCTCTGAATTGTTAGTGCTGGACGCCAGTGTTGAGGTGGATGTATAGCGGGCGCGCTCCTGTCGCATGCGTTCCATTTCACGCTTTTTCGTCTCCGAAAATTGTGTGGCAATGACGACGAGACAGAGGTTGATCATGAAGAAGGAGCCAATCTGTGGAGGAACAGAAAGAAATAAGGAATTAGTAAGCACGTGGAGGAGAGTTGTGAAATATAAGCTTGTGTAGCATACATTTAGGCGTATACATTTTTTTCTTCATTCTTATAAAATATCCTATTTATATATATGGTAATGTATTTTTTTCAAGTGGATTATGAAGTCTTTTGTGAAAGTGGTGCACTATTTCTCCAATACACGCTTTAAGATAGAAATTGAAGCTTCTGTAATAGTAATTATGTAATATTCAAAGTACCGGCCCAGATATTGTGCAAAGAAATTATTAAATTAAGTAACTGTGTATTACAAAATGCGTAAATATAGTTTTTATTGCATACATTTAGGGAGTTATATATAAAAATGAGTTTTTTTTTCAAATGTTTGCGGTAAATTTTTAAAATTTTTTTAAATAGAAAATAAATTCCAACAAAACGTACATGCGTTGCATACTTTTGGCTGTAAGTAAATTTTTCTAATTTTTTGTTTATATTTTAATTTAAATTCTCATGTTAAAATATTTAAAAATTGAATTTCAATAACATAACTTCAGTTTGAAATATAGTTGAAATTTTTACTGTAAAATTTTAGGCGCTAAACGCAATTTGCTGCTTTTTCAAATATAATTTATTTAATAAATTTCAACATTCGCTCGCCAAAATCAAAACACATTTCAGTTTTTCTTCGATTTGAGCACTAGTCAAAAAACTTGGTACATACTTTTAAGCGCTAAAAGCATTTGCTTATTTATTTGTATTGTAGACACTTTTTTCAATATGCTTAGCAGCTTGACGACAAAAATAACCGAATAAAATAATAATTATATATGCCTGTTTTTCAATAAATACATTGCATACTTTTAGGCGTTATAAAAAGTTTCTTCTAATTTTGCAGTATTTTTGCCAGCATTTAACTGGCCAGCGCTGTTTAATTGAAAAGTAATATAAAATATGTATTTGCAGCTTTGTATATGCTACATACTTTCAGGCGCTTTGATGTTTATTGCTCAAGTCACTGCATTTTTGTAACAACATTTTATATTTCGACAACTTTTAAATAATACATGCTAGCCTTGTGCGCTCCAGGTGCTTAGAATTTATGCAGATATGCATACTTTTAGGCGCACTGCGATATGCAGGCATTTTGCTATACTTTCCAACTCTGTTCAGCTGATTTCGATATGCATATCCATGTAGTAGGCTATGTTGCTGATAGGAGTCACACACACATATACTTATGGCCACTTATTAACATGTATGTTGTTGTTACTTTTGTAGTGCTCGTTGCAATCTACAAACTTTTAATAGCTGCAATCTGCAATTGGTGTGTTTGCTTTCGACAACTGTTGTATGTGCTTGGTAGTAGTTGCTGAGTACATTTGTTGTTGTTATATATGTAGTATACATTTTTGTAGATTAAGTTTGCTACACTAAAATGTTGCTTCAGTTTGCAGTGGTCAGCAAAAACCACAATTCTTGCAAGCAGATTAGAAGCGCTTTACTAACAGTGAGGGGTCGTGGCAAAATTTTGGTCAGTTTCTGTGTGGTATTTGAAGACTATCGAAGCTGTGCGTGCTTAAAGTGCAATGCTTATATGTACATATGTACATACATATATGTATATATTGCATAACGCATTTATAATGCGAAAACTTTGTCCTCGAGTTGGCTGCTGGCCGAGAAGTTGCAACAGATTTTCAAATTCTATTCTCATGTCGTTATTAAATTTACATTTTATCTTAGATTTACATATGCAACGCATGCACGTGTGTGCAAGTGTGTTTATATACATACATGTGTACGCAGCTTGTTGACATGCTGAGGAATTATGGGCAATTGCAATTTTTGAACCATGTTGGCAATGAAATTTTCGTGCTTCAAAAACTTTTTAATTTACAATTTACAACAGTCAAACATTCAGTTACTCAGTCAGTCAGTCAGTCACCCGCTCGAAATTTTTGCTGTCATTTAACAGTTTCATGCAAGTGTGTGTGTTTCCACTATTATGTATACCGTAACTGTATTTTTGTTACATAGTATGCCAGCTGTGTGGCTGCTTTGCTTGTTGGTGTGCCACACGTCGTATACGCAACGTTTTACTTTGCATTGTGTGCTGCTTTTTGTGTTGTGTGTTGTTGCTGTTTTTTTATTTCTGTTATTTTTCTGTGAAGCACTTGCAAACGCAAAGTCTGTTGCTGACAATTGCAGATTGCTTGGATTATTTTAATTTAATTTTATTTAACTTTGTTTCGACAAATGTGCTAGCTGGTCGTAAGTTTGTGTGTGAGAGCATGTACATGTAAAGGAAAATTTATTATGAAGCAGTTGCAGCGACTGCAGCAAAATATTAAGCTAATATTAATTTCATACAAAAATTGACAAGTTTCTTGAAAACATTTTGCATTTGAAAGCTGATATCGCAGTGTGCTTTACACATTTATTATAATTTTTTTTTGCTGTATATCAGATATAATGCTTTGAACTGTTCCCATAACTCAAGCAGGACAATGGAGAGTTACGGACAAGACAAGAACTAACGACTTATAGCAAGAAAAATGTAACAAAAATTGGAGCCAAAGCAGAAAAAATCCTCCTTTTTCCAAAAGCAAAAATAATATGGCAACATTGCACCGTTGTAACTCATAAAAGTTGTTCAAAAACACGGCTTTTATAAATAAATTTTTACTAAGTAGTATTTTAATCACTTCAAATCGATCGATTTTTCTAAGAAAATTTAAATTCAGTAAAAAATAATAAATAATTTACAAAACTAGTTTTCACACAAAAATATATGAATATATTAACATAACAAAAATGCGATTAAAAGCGGAACACTTACTTGGAAAATACAAACAAATTCGTTAAAAATTTGGTTTTAATTTTGTTTCATCAAAAACATTATGTGTCAACTACAATTTTCAAAAGCAAGCTAACATTTTTTGTGAAATTTTTTTACATTAAAACTATAGATTTCATTTAAGGCATAAAAGCTTAAAAAGTAAAAGTAGTAAATTTTTTTTTATTAAAACTATGAATAATACAAAAAATTTTTGCGAAATTTGATTAAATTTTTTTGTAGCTAATCATGCTATCACGTTTTGAACTACTAAACTCATGTTTTTTATATAAAAAAATACTTTTAATTTAAGAATCAAATCTCGTGTGGCAACCCTTTTTTATGTGTGTGGGACTGCACTTAAAATGATTTACTGATTTTGCTAATCAAATGTCACTTCATGAAATTATTGATTCACAAAAATACGTATTGAAGTCAATAATTTTTTTAAATTCTTGCAACTCTTTTAGCAATTATTTACAAAATGTTGCACATATAAACATTTTAAGCAATGCATGTACATATATGTATGTATTGTGGAGATTTTATATATAAAAAACTATTTTCGTGTAAAATATATAGTTTTCTTATCGAATAATGGCAACCCTTTCGAATTTTGGACAATTGAAAAAAAAAATTACATTGCATTTTTTTAGTTAATTTGTAGTTGTTTAACAGAATTTCCGAGCTTTTAAAAACTTTATCCTGTATGAAAGTGTTGGTGGCAGCCCTCTGTCACAAAAAAGTACCGCAAAGTTATACCAAATGCTGAAATCTCACGCAAATTCCATCAAAGACTGCTTAAAACAATTGCTCCGCCGCGCAATGATCAGCAGTTTTTTTCATAGCCTACATTAAGGCGCGCACCCCTAAAAACATTTTAAACCGACGCCACAGACAGGTTGGAACAATGACAACCGCAGAAACTTTACACTGGTTTGCTACGACAATAAAAAACAAAGTAAAGTGTATAAACAACAAACATAAATTTAATGCAATACGATAAAAAGAAAATATTTGCGAAAAGTGGCTTAATCTCAGTAAAAGCAAGAGCGAAAATACGGTAAGTACAGTGGTGGTAACAAAAAAAGTTTTCAAGAACTTTTCATGCCAAACAATGTAGGCATAAATCGAACGGATTCAGTCAGGTGGAAGTGTGTTGTGAATGGGAGGAGAGTAAGGAGAGGATATAAAAGCGTGGCGTGTCTCTAAATATAAAGAAGCCAATTTTCAGCTCAATGGAAGTTTTGATAACAGGAGATTTAGTCATTTATGGAACGAATAAGGTTTTCAAAACCCACTGAATTTTTTCGGTCTCCAGCTTGACTCACAGACATTCAAAATACCCTTAGATAAGCTGCTGAGTTATTTGCTGTTTTGAAAAAATTTGTAATAAGAGAAGAAGTTTGGTAAAGCATCTAGCAGAGATGTAAGTTTGAAATAGACTACTTCCAACGATTGAAATTATACTCGTATAGAACCTGCATTTTGCTTTCGTTTTTCAATCAATTTAGATTGTCCTTTGAGAAAATAGTAATGCCAATTGAGCCCGAAACTTCTTTAAATGTTCAAGTATTTTTTGTTCTTATTTTATTGACTCTAGTATACTAACACTAGTACGAAAGACATAGGTAAGGCTTGTAGCCTGGTCTTCGGAAAAGTTCAAGGTTTCCAGAATTTGCCAAAATTCTAAAATCAAAAGAAATTTGCCGTGGTTGCTTGAGAAATTCGAAAGTTGTGTGAGAAAAAAATGCAGCTAAATTAATGTACAGACAACTTTCTCTGAAGCCTAGCTATCTCTGACTCTCTTTCTTTCATCGCTAGCGACTTGAACTTCGGAAAATCATTATTTTTATCTCTAAAACACTTTAGAGCCCCCGAAAAGAAATACTTCTGCCAACGGTTAGGGTACATACTGCGTTACTTTTCATACATATGGTTTCAAATAAGTGCGGGTTTTGCGCCTGAAACTCCAACATAGACACTCAACTACAACTGAATCACAGTCGAGCTCGAACACAAGCTCAACGGCCACACAGCCCAGCCAAAAGAGTAGGAATATATGGTTTTTTGAATGCGCAACAGGATGTGGCGTCGAATAACACAATGGAGGAAATCACATAAAATTAAAAAAGACAGCAACAACACAATCGTAGCACGCGAAC